CACACACACACACACATTTTTTTTCTTCTTCTTCTTAAACTTTGTGCGCCCCGTGAAGGCTTCCAACGCGCGCGCACCGGTGCGGGGCCCGCGCTCAGTTGTATCCCGCTCCCTGCCACTTTGCGTGTTTGAACATGCCACGTGGAAGGGGTGTGTTCGAACGTGAACGCGCGCTCTGCACGTTCAGACCATTACATAGGTTCCACGCCGAATCCACGGTACTTCCACCAGCATTTACCAACAAAAAAAGAACTGGGAACAGTATGAAGTCTGTTGATTGCAATCAATGTTCTGGCTTCAGTGTGCTGAAAAAGGGAAAAGTTCATAAAGCTTATCGTTATTGTTTATCATCTCTCCACTACTGTGTTCGAAGTTCGAATTTATGAGAGACTGGTTTGTTGGGCCAACGACTGTTTACATCAAGAATGAGAATCTGCATGACATGTGGAGCAGCAACACGGCTTAAACTAGGTAACATCTGCATAGCATCTGTAGCAGCACAGCATCTGCATGGATTTAGCAGAGCTGCTGAAGCTATGCGTAGCCTCTGCATAGCTTAAGCAAGATACCTTCTGCATAGCACCGGCTGCATAGCATCAGCAAAGCCGCTGCATAGCACCAGCAGCAGCAACACAGCAAACACAAGGTAGAATGTGCACCAGCAACACCGGTGAGGCAAGATAGCATCTGCAGATCATCTGGAACAGCAACCTAGCTGCGGCAAGATAGTATCGGCATTTATATGATAGCAAAGGCAGCAGCAACTCAGCTCAGAGAAGATAGCATCTGGATAGCATCTGGAGTGGCAACACAACTGAGACAAGATAGCATCTGCATTGCATCAGCAAAGCAGCTGCATAGCACCAGCAGCAGCAACACAGCAAACACAAGGTAGAATGTGCACCAGCAACACCGGTGAGGGAAGATAGCATCTGCAGATCATCTGGAGCAGCAACCCAGCTGCGGCAAGATAGCACCGGCATGTATATGATAGCAAAAGCAGCAGCAACACAGCTTAGACAAGATCACATCTGCATAGCATCTGCAGCAGCGACACATCTGAGACAAGATAGCATCTGCATAGCATCAGCAAAGCTGCTGCATAGCACTGGCAGCAGCAACACAGCAAACGCAAGGTAGAATCAGCAGCTGCAACACTGTTGAGGCAAGATAGCATCTTCATAGCATCTGCATAGCATCTGCAGCGGCAATGCAGCTGCGGCCAGATAGCATCGGCAAAGCAAATGCAGCATAAACACAGCTTAGACATGATCGCATCTGCATATTAGCATCTGAGGCAGCAATACAAGCGAGACAAGATTGCAACTGCATAAAATCTGTGAGCAGCAGCACAGACGCCATAGTGTTTACTCAGCGATCCTGCATGTGCTGCTGCTGCTGCTGCAAATACTGTGCGGAGTATGAGTCTCCATTAAACTCGATCATAGTGCTATGGCAGAAGATCTATGGCCGAAACTGGATGCACAAGATTGCTAGTGTTGAACTCGATAGTTAACAAGGTGCTGTAGCAGACCTGCTATCCACTATTATAATCATAGTCCATGCATCTTCTATACCATGCTATAGCTGGCTTGCCAATACAATCGGCAGTGATTGTCTTGTGATGACCTAGTGGACGCCATAGCAGATATAATGAATATCCTAGAAATGGATGCTATAGCCAAGTTGAGTGTTCACGACCGTTTTTCACCATGGATTACCCCATTGCAGCAAAACGTTGCATGTTATGTGAGTGCTACAGTGAGTGCTACAGTGAGTGCTATAGTGAGTGCTACTGTGAGTGCTATAATGAGTGCTATAGTGAGTGCTGTAGTGAGTGAGTGCTATAGTGGGTGCTATAGTGAGTGAGTGCTGTAGTGAGTGCTATAGGGAGCGAGTTCTATAATAGTCAGTGCTATAGTCAGTGCTATAGTCAGTGCTATAGTCAGTGCTATAGCCAGTGCTATAGCCAGTGCTATAGTCAGTGCTATAGTCAGTGTGACAGTCAGTTCTGTAGTCAGTGCTGTAGTCAGTGCTATAGTCAGTGCTATAGTCAGTGCTATAGTCAGTGCTATAGTCAGTGCGAAGGGAGTGCTATGGCGATTGCTTTAGTGAGTGCTACAGTGACTGCTATAGTGAGTGCTATAATGTGTGCCATAGTAAATGCTTTATCTGAGCGCGCTATCTGAGTGCTATAGTGAGTGTGTGCTATAGTGAGTGTGTGCTATAGCGAGTGTGTGCTATAGTGAGTGTGTGCTATAGAGAGTCCGTGCTATACTGAGTGCTGTAGTGGGTGCCATGTTCTATCTGTTACTAAGAACTGGGGAACTGCAGGCAGGGGCAAGGGACACAAGTAGTTGACAGGGACCCCGTGATGAGGAATAAGACGTTTTCATAAATGTGCGAAAATTTGAAAATGTCAAAATGATAAATCATATTGTAATTTGGAACGCAATAGTATTGCGGGATACAAGGACTGACAACCTTTTGCTCTTGTCTTTGTCTCTGATGGACAAGGGGTTTCTAATTTTCGCATAAAATGTGATTAGAATCATCAGATTCATACGAATTGATAATAAAAAAGAAAGTACAAATTATCTCTCTAAAATGTCAAAATGATAAAATCGTATTGCAGGTTTCTAATTGGTTCATCAACGCCCGTGTGCGATTGTGGAAGCCGATGCTGGAGTGTATTTATCAAGAATTGACTGAAGAGCGTCAGCAGCAGGAGACCTGTGGTTCTCGTCAATTCGACAGAAGACTATTCTCTGCTAAGAAGCGCAAAAGAGAATGCCAAAGTTCTTCCTCAGCTACTGTCCATCCATTTGCATCTGCATCTGAAAATGAGGCAGACGATAACGAGGAGGATGATGATGAAGAGGAGGAGGAGGAGGAGGGGGGGGGGGAGGTGCACATGAAAGAGGATGAGCAGGAGGACAGGAAAGACGAGGGGGAGGAGGAGGAGAAAGAACACATTGTCAAGAGGAATGAGGAGCCTAAGGGGCAGTCCAAGGAGGAGGAAGAAGCGAGAGTGTGGGATGACGCAGCAGATGTTTCTGATATGCTGGGATGCTTTACCACGAGACCGGAGAACAATCTTGGTGTAGCAATGATTGGGTTCTGATGGCCGAGCATGAGATTAGTTAAGAGTGGAGTGGTGCCGATACACCAAAGAAAGACCTCCGGCAATGCCTTAAGCAATGATCTTGGCGTAGCAATGATTGGGTCCTGGTAGTCCACAGCAGCAACCACAGTTCCAACTCTTGAGTTAAGAGAGGTGTGTCGAAGAGAAAGACCTCCCACAACCCTAGAGTGTTGAAACCCATACTACCGTCTTCACCCGTCGAATAGAACGCCTGTTGGAGGTCATTGTATAGTTGTATGAGTAACTTCGAGTCTAAATACAGCGATAATGACCGTCGGCAGGCGTTATATTCGGGTGAAGACGGTAGCTTGTGCTTGATGAGTGAGTGACCTGCAATGACGGGATGGTGCCAAATTCCGCCAATAGAAGCCAAGTCGTGCACGGAGTGATGTGTATTTGGTGTCAAGTCCCTGCGGCACTTTTGTTGATCCCGAGAGTCTGAGACCAATCAAGGCCTACTGTTTGAGGTTCTGCGAGAGGGCCCGGGGAACGAAAGAGCAGCACATCCATCAAAACGATTGATCGGCTGTGGAGGAGACAGGAAGGCCTTGGCTGCAGTTTTTGGCTGTCTTGCTGGTGCGCATCTTGCTAGCATGGCATTGTATGTTTTTGAACCCGGCAGAGGCTTTGGGTCTTGGAAGACCAGCCCCCGCCCAATGCCGAAATTTTGAGAGGGGGTACAGAAGGCATACCAGGACATGTGTAAGAGAGATTGCTCAGCTGTGTTGGAAGTGGAAAGGCTTTGGACTTAGAGCACGGTGATTCTGCGTTTGCATCTGCACACGTTGTTTAGAAGAGATTGAGATTGCATTGAACTTTGAGCATGATGATTCTTCACTTGCCCGACCAAACTTCGGACACATGTCTTTTGGAAACTTGTCAGACTACTTAGGTCAGGTGGGGATATCAGTCCACGAGTGAGAAAAAACAGCGATACTGCTTTGGACTCGGAGCATGACGATTCTCCATGTGCCCAACCAAACTTCTTGCACATGTTTTGAAACTTGTTGGACGTTTGGTTCGGGATATCAACGAGGGCGAATAAACTGCACCACACAATGGCACACATCCATCCATAGGAGAGATTGCTCAGCTGTGACGACGTGGCAAAGTCGCAAAGGCCTCTGACTCAGCGCCAGAGCGTGATCGTCCAGCATCTGCGACCAGCTGCTGTCTTGCGGGCTGACATGACATTGTGTGTGTTTGGAACTGGTGAGCGGTTTGAGTGGTGAGGGGACAGCAATGAGAGAACAAGGAGAAGCAGAACAGTTAGTACAGCATATTGGAGGGATTGCTTATCTGTGCCGCAAGCTACGGCGGTCACTAATAGCACATAAGAGGACAATGATGCTGCATGCACAGTGCACAGCTACCGTCTATTGCCCGGACTGGAGTTATGGTCACTGTAGCAGGATTTGGGTTTTATGAAAGCGGGTGCACAAAGCCATCGGAT